TGTCGTGGAGGCGGCTCTCACCAGCGCGTGGAGCTTGCGCCGCATGGGAGCGCACTGCGGGTACGAGCACTGCGGGTGCATGCAGCTGAAGACATGCGCCAGCAGCACCCTCCGCTGCTCGCGCTGCCGGCTCGCCTCGCCCGTGCCGGCTGCCGCACTCGTGGAGCCGCCATCGCCGGCGGTGCCTCCACCGCCGCTGGCGAGCGCAGACTCGGCGCCGGCCGTCGCTGAGGCGGGGTCTCTGCACGGCGGGCAGACTTCGTGCCGCGGCGGCATGGCGCCGGAGGAGTGGCAGATCTGACAGAGCACACACCCCACGGTGCGGCACGCCTCGGCGTGGGCGCGGAGCTTGGTGAGCTTCCCCTTCATCTGAGCGCAGTCCGGGTCGGGGCAGCCCGAGACGGCGGTGCAGGAGGCGGCGTGCGAGAGCGCCCGCTTCAGTGCCGCCACGTCCGCCTGCGACATGCCCGCTGGCAGCCTCGCAGAGCCCTCTGGCACCGCTGGAGCACCGGCGGCACCGCCTGCTGCGGCACCTGCCACTGCCGCTGGCGCGGCGGACGCGGGTGCAGAGCCCTGCTGCGGCGCGCCACCAACGAGGTGCAGCACCGCAGCGTTGACCACGTCGCGGCCGACGACGTCCACCAGCTGCCGCTGCACAGCCGCGAGATCGGCTCCGACGGCGACAGCGTCGATGGCGGCGTGCTTGTCAGGAGCGCTGCGGCGGCGGAGTTCTTCAATCAACGCCGTGAAGCTGAGCGTAGCTTGCTGCTGGGAGCTCATTCGTGGCGGGGCCGGGTGTGAGCATGGACGCGTGAGCTCCAACCCTCCCAGCTCTTTGACGAAAAAACACGCGCCGCGGACAGCTAGAGTTGTTTGGCTGTGTCCCTTGTCAGGAGCAGGAGAGCCCCACCTGTCCCCCTGATCGTCCTTCCAAAATCCTGCTCGTGCAGGTGGGGACCCTGTCCTCCTCCCCCATCCCTCGTTTGGGTTGTCTGTTTTCTTTCTTTCTTTTTTTTGGCTGTTCCAGAAAAGAAAGAAAGAAAACGGACAAAAGGGAGGGATGGGAGAACGGCACGCCGCCACCACACAGAGCCAACCTGCACAGCAACCTCGTCCCCAGTTTTTTTTGCGACTTTGATCTAGCAAAAAGTACGAATAATAAGCGCTATCACGCGCCCAGGCGCCCGGGCACCCGAAGGGCACACAGCCACACACGAGGAATATGTACGACCTTCGTACCAAGCTACTACGTGCGCGATAATGCTATAGCGCGGTGAGATCGCTCTCTCTCTCTCCTCGTCCGCATCGCTCTCCTCGCCGCCGGCGCCACGAGACGCACCGGCCTCCTCCTCGTAGTGGCCTCGGACGGCCCTGCTGCGCCTTGCGGCGGTGCTTGCTGCGGCTGCGGCTCGAGCAGGCGGACGGTCGTGTCCCACAGGTGCCGCGCGCGCGCCAGCGCCGCCTCCTCGGCGGTGGCAAAGTAGCCGAGGGTGACTTTCTTGCCTCCAGTCGTTACCTGCAGCTTGTACTGCTTGGTATGTCGCTGCTTCGGGTAGAAGAGCACGCCTTTGTAGCCGCTGTTGCTGCTGCCGCTGGTGACTAGAGTCAGGCCCTCCCTCCCCGCCTGCCGGACCGCCTCTGCGCCAGCGGCGGTGGTGGTGGGCGGCGGCGGCGGCGGCGGCGGCGGCGGCGGCGGCGGCGGCGCGGTGAGATCGCTGGTGTCCCTGCCCGCCTCCCTGCGGGCGTAGAAGAGCGCCGCCTGCTCAGCGGTGGCGAAGGAGCCGAGGCTGACTTGCTTGCCGCCAACCTTCACCGACAGCAGGTACTTCTTGCTGCCTTCCCGCTTCGGGCAGAAGCTCACGCCTTTGTAGCCGGTGCTGTTGTTGCTGCTGGTGACCAGGGTCAGGGCCTCCCTCTCCGCCTGCCGTATCGCCTCGGCGCCAGCGGGAGAGGAAGGCACGGGTGGCGGCGGCGGCGCGGTGAGATCGCTAGTGTCCCTGCCCGCCTCCCTGCGGGCGTAGAAGAGCGCCGCCTGCTCGGCGGTGGCAAAATAGCCGAGGGAGCCTTGCTTGCCGCCAACCCACGCCCGCAGCTCGTACTTCTTGCTGCCTCTTTCGGCTGCTTTTGACCAGAACTCGCCCCTAGGTGCCCTTCGGCGATGGCAGCCCCTCTCTGGGGTGTTGCATAGGCGGGGAGTCTCCCCCGCTGGTCTCCTCATTCCCTTTTTCTTTTTATTTTGAGCTGGGTGTGCCGCCGCGCGGCGCTCGCGCGGCGGCGGCGGTGTGTGTGTGTGTGTGAGGGGGGGGGGGGGGGGAGCACCCAGGGCAAAGGCAACGGTCATCGGCTCCTCCAGGTTGGAAAAGGGGAGGGGGGATGGGCGGTCCGCCAGGGGGTTATAGCCCAACAGTGCGTGCGGGGTAGCCACCACTTTCCTGCCTCACAAGGGCGGGGCTGTCCCGGAAAGTGAGAAACCCCGGGCAGCGTGGTGCACGACTGCAACCTCCCATACGTATTTTCGTTCGCTTCTCCCTCGGGCTGTTCCATCTCCTCATATCCTTCCCACCTGGGCGGGGCGGGGGCCGGGGGGGCGGCGGGCGCGGGGTGCGGGGTGCGGTGCGGTGCGTGCAATCGTGTGTTTGGCGTCATGTTGTGCCTCGCAGCTGCGTATTCTCGTATTATCTTCGAGTAGTTGCGTGGGGGCGGTACGTATTCTCGTATCAGTAGCTTAGTGTCGTGTCCACTAGCTCCGAGTAGAGGGTGCGTTCTGCTGCTAGGGGAAACCCGGAGCGCGGTACTATCCCTCGGAGACCCGTGTTATGGCCCTGCGAACGCGCACCCCCCAGGGCTAGGGCTCTCTTGCCCGCAACCCGATCCCGATCATCCGGCCCGCTGGGTGCGCTCCTCAGCTCCCCGGCCCTGGATGTGAGGCTGATAACTGCACTCCAAGTGCTCCAAGTGCTCCTTCGACAAGCGACGTGGCGCGAGGAGAGCTCGATAGACTCGAGGGGCCAAGATATGCAGCGAGGAGGGCGGAGCTGCGCCGAAAGGCGCAAGAAGCCGCGAGAACAAGGGACCGGCAGGCGGCGGCGGCGTCGCAGGACGAGGCAGAAGAGAGCGACGCGACAGAAGAAGAAGTGACAAGGGAGAGAACGACGAGAGTGGGACGACCGCGAGGTGGCATGAAGGTTGCAGCGAGAAGCGGCGAGAGACTGCGAAGAGAGATAGGAAGAGGCAGACTCCCTAGGGTGGGCGACGGCTAGCGCATCACACACCTCTCCTTAAAATCCCTGTGTGGTGGCGGCGTGCCGTCCTCCCCATCCCTCCCTTGGGTTGTCCGTTTTGTTTCTTTTAGAGCGACGTGGCGTGGGCGGTTGAGCATCCCTCGGGGGCCCCCCTCTGCGCCGGGGAGGCGTTGTTGGAGGCTAGCGTCCGTCGCCGTTTTAAAATCGGGGCCCACTCCGCTGGCGCTGCGCTCCGCCTCCGACCCAAATAAATAAACAAAACGGACACCTCTACTAGGAGATGGGTAAAAAGGAACAGGTCCCCGCCCTGCGGTCTTTGTGCAGGGTTCTTTGTGGGTGTGGTCGGCGACTAGCCGGGGTCGTCCTCCCGATGCGCGATGGGGGACTAGCACTAGCCGTCTTCCACATGGTCCCTCGGGTCCCCTGCTGCTCCTAATCTCGTCGTACATCCTCCTGCTGATCTCCGCAACATCCGACCCGATTTTTGAGGGCCATGAAATTTAAGGTGTTGCTGCGCAAAAGGGGCGGGGCGCGGGCGCGCGCGGCCCGCCGAGAGCTCTTTTTGGAGACCAGACCTTTCGATGGTTCATGTGCTTTCTATGTCTATTCTACGTCATGCTTCATGAGGCACGACACGCGGTGGTGGGAGCTGGTGGAGCTGTCAGCTGATCGATCCAAGCGGGTGGGGAGTGGGGGGCATGGCTGGGCATGCAGGTCCGCCAGTCGGCCCGGCCTCTGACGTGGTGCTGCCGCTGCATTCGCTGAAGAAGAGAGGTGCGACTTGATTGGAGGCACTGGAGGCGAGGCGAAGGGAGGTTGGGCCGGGCCGTGAGGGGCTGATGGCGCTGGCCAGCGCGGGGTGTGAGATGTCGTCGTCGTCGTATACTGCTGGCCCTCGCCCTCAGTTGCCAGGGCTGTGGGCTGCAGAATTGGCGTCTGTGGCGTCTACGCAGGCTCTGCAGCGTGATGGCAGTCGGAACTGCGAGGCCGGCGGCAGCGGAAGGAGAGGCTGGGCACGAGCCAGGAAGAGGCTGGCCAGGTCCGCAGGTGGCTGCACTCGGGCGAGGCGCGCGCGCGCATGGCAGGCCGAGGATCATTTCGTCCGTCCAATCGAAGGAAGCGCTGGATCGCCCATGTTGAGATTCCGTGTTTTTGCACGGTATTCGGATTTTCGCTATTTGGTCGTGTGGGTGTGTATTCCGGGATTAGTCAATGGTACCGTGTCGGCGACGCGGGCGCCTTGCGGGCAAAAAAAAAGAAAGAAAACACACAACCCAAGGGAGGGATGGGAGGACGGAACGCCGCCACCACACAGGGATTTTAAGCGGGCAGAGAGAGCCCTAACCACCCTCGTTTATCTTGCGCGGTCAAAACTCTACAGGCGAGCCCGGTGTGAGGAAAGCAATGTGCTCGCCCAGGTGCCAGGTCGCTGTCTGTCCGTTCTCCGTCCGTTCTCACCCTTCCTTGGGATTGTTTGTGTTCTTCCTGAGTACACAGCAGCATGTCGTGACTCGTGTTCACCCCATCATCGGAGGAGAAAGAAAAGGAGCCCGCGGAGAGACCACAAGCAGACAAGGCGAGACAACGGAGGACCCCACGCTCTCTCGTCTGAGCCGCTCAATCCCGAGGGACTTCCCGGCTCTCGGCCCGAGGCGGGGCACTGGCGGGGCGACTGTCCCGCCTCGGGTGGTCGGGGGTGGCGGTACAAGCGAGAGACGGCAGACGGGGGGTACCGCCGGACGCCGACGGTGTTGAAAGCATGACGGAAGTCCACACAGGCCGGACAGGGTTTAAGTCGCACGACGTGGCCGCCGGGAAGCGACGCCCTGGGCGCCCATGTTTTATTATAATGCAAAGCAAAAACATACTAAACTAAAAAGGCTGGCGCTAAGCATGCCGCCGCGCGCCTCGGCCTGCCACGACTGTCGGAGGCGCCTGAGGCATCTGCAGCGCGCCGCGGACGCACGGCTCACCCGACTTTTCTCACGCCTTCGGGCCGATGTGCCGCTCGACGGGGCCGTCGGCGGGGCGGCCGGCCACGCTCACAAGGTTGATGCAGTAGCGGTTGCCAGTGCCGTCGGGCAGGTTGTGGCCGAGGTGCGTGCCCGCGGTCGAGACGCACTCCCCGTCGGGCAGCACGCGCACGTAGTCCCAGTTGACCTCGGCGTCGCGGAACGAGGGCCAGCCGTGCGAGCGCGACTCCTTGACGAAGCTCTGCCAGGTGCGGCCGCGGGGCCCGTAGAAGAGCGGGTCTCCGCTGTTGGAGTCGAAGAACGTGATCTCCTCGGTGTTGGCCTCCTCCTCCTTGAGGAACGTTGTCGAGCGCTCCCAGTAGCCGGCATTCTCCGCGTAGTGCCGGTTGAAATTGCAGATCCGGTCGGCGAGGTCGGCGCCGCAGTTCCAGCGCAAATCCTTCTGGACGGGAACTTCGCTCGTTCCGTGCGCCTTTTGAGACATGAGTGACTCCTCGCCGATGACGACGGGCGGGCCGTAGCGCGGGGCCTTGCTCGTGAGCGCGTCGAAGAGGCCCATGTTGACGTGTGGGACGCGGATCGCCGCTGCAAGCGACAGGAAGGGCAGGGTGCGCAAGACGCGCATCCGAGAGTTTTCCGGACGCGGTATCGAGAATTTCACGCCGTTGCCGACCGCACTCCAAGTGGCATGAAGGTTGCAGCGAGAAGCGGCGAGAGACTGCGAAGAGAGATAGGAAGAGGCAGACTCCCTAGGGTGGGCGACGGCTAGCACCACACTCCTCTCCTTAACATCCCTGTGTGGTGGCTGGCGGCGTGCCGTCCTCCCATCCCTCCCTTGTGTGGCAGCACCTGTTTTCTTTCTTTCTTTACTCCAAGTGCTCCTCCCATCCCTCCCTTGGGTTGTCTGTTTTCTTTCTTTCTTTCTTTGCTCCAGCAGCCTCACATGCTGACAACACAACAACTCTCACATGCTGCCGGCGCTACATCTCGGGAACATGCACATGCACAACAACATGCATGTCCATGCACATGTGCATGTGCATGTGCAGTCATGTGCATGTGCATGCACATGCACATGCACATGTGCATGTGACATGTATGTGCATGCACGAAAAGGAACAAACGCGCCCTCTCTTCGTTCGGTTGGCCAGAACTAACTCAAACTGCCCCCCTCCTCCTCACCTCCGCCGCCGCCCTCCTCCGCCGCCTCCAGCCTCGCCACCTGGCGCTGCTTCCTCCGCTCGAGCCGCGTGAACAGCTTTTGCTTGTTTTTGACGGGCGTGTACCACCACGTCGCTGCCTCGCGCGCCACGCCGCAGTCGCACTGCTGGTGGCATTGGCTGTCGCCGTGCACCGCAACGCCGCGCGCCGCGACGCCCGAGAGGATCGCCTCGCCGAGAGGGTTGGAGTGGTCGCGGCACAGGTGGTCGGCGAGCTGCGCGTGCAGGCACTTCACCTCGGGCTTCGAGGGGCTCTGGCCGGCGACGCCGCTGTTGAGCACCAGCTCGCTAAGCTCTTCGCGCGAGAGGGCGCGCGGCGGCCGCGCGCCCGACTTTGCGCCGGCGCCCGTCCGCTTCCGGCGCGGCGGCGGCGGCGGCGGCGCGGCGGCGTCCGCCTCACGCGACCGCTGCAGCGCCTCCTCGAGCCGGCTACCGACGAGTGCGCGCCGCGCGAGGGCATGCCTTCGGTTGGCCTCCTCGAGGTCGGCTCTCGAGCACTCGCTCACCCTCCCCTCGTCCACCTCCGCCTGGAGCTGGCGCACGGCGCCCTCTGCCTCCCACCGGTCCACCGCCTGCACGAGCAGCGGGCACGACAGCCGGAAGAGGCCCGAGTCGAGCGGCGCCCGCCGCGCACGGCCACCGTGAAAGCGCGCGAGCGGGTCCCACACAAACGCCTGCGGGTGGCCGTGGACGCAGCGCGCGCCGACGGCGAGCGGGTACGGCCGATAGCCGAGCTGGCGTTCGAGAGCACCCATGTCCGACACGCTGACTGGACCGACGGCCAGCCGCGCCTCTGCTGCCGCCGCGGGTGGCTCGCGAGGAGAGGGGCCGGAGCCGGCGCGGAGCGAGCGGGTGCCACCGCAGCACCACGCGAAGCCGGTAATGACGCGCAGCCAGCGGAGACGACGAGGTCGCGAGAAGAACTGCAGGCCGAGGAGGAGGCTCATGTCGACTGATCGATGTGATGATGTCGAGAGCAGGAGAATTCACCAACGTCATTTCTTACTCAAATAAATAACGTGTGGGCTCAGCAGAGCTGGGAAGAGGACCGCCGCAAGCGTGGCGTGGAGCGGTTGTGCATCCCTCCGGGGGCCCCTCTGCGCCGGGGAGGCGTTGTTGGAGGCTAGGACGCAAGCGTCCGTCGCCCTTTTTCAAACTCGGGGCCCACTCCGCTACGCTCCGACCCGAATTTGGAGGGCCTGAAAGTTTAAGGTGTTGCTGCGCAAAAGGGGTCGGACACAGGGCGCAGCTCATGCTAAGAGCTAGAAGGGGAGATGGAGAGAACAACCACCCTGTCCCGTTATTGCGTACACCAACACCACAAAGCTCTCTCTCTCCTGCTCCTCACCTCACACTCAGGGGGCGGTCACGACTACCGAGTTCCTAGAGTCTAGCTGCCACGTTCAAAACCAGGACGGCGACAGTGATGGTGCTATCACGGGCATGGTCAGGGGAAAGTGGAGCGGGGGGGGGCGAGCGTCAGCCAGCCAGGTGATAGTAGAGCAGGCGCTTTGTGGGTGGCGGTGGGCGGCGGCGCTGGGTGGCCGGCTGAATCGTTAGCTGAGCTCCTCTCTCAAGCTCGATCACGCATGACGCACGTAACCTGACAACGTCGGCGAGCTTCTGGATCAGGTTAGGTTGCTGGAGCACCTCCAACTCCTCCTCTGAGTCAGACACGCCAACGTCGACGACTGCGCCCTCCTCCTCCTCCTCCGATTCGCCGACTGCACCCTTCTCCTCCATGGGCTCGATCCGATTCCGCAGCGTGTCGTCCTCAGCGGCGGTGTTGCGCGGGAGGCGGCCGCGGGCACGCTGGGCTCGATCAGCGGCTTTCCCTCAGTTGCTCCGAAAGCACGGATTTGGCGGACGTCGCGGCTTCAATTTTACGATGTCTTGGCACCAGGTGAAGGCTTGCCCCCGTCCACGGCCCAGATCACGCAGTTCGTGCACGGTATTCGGATTTTGCTATTTGTTCGTGTGGGGGTATGTTGCAGATTTGTCAATGGTACCGCGTCTGCGACGCGGGCGCCTTGCGGGCAGAGCCCTTAGCCACCCTTTATATCTTGCGCGGTCATAAATAAATAAAACGGACACCTCTACTAGGAGATGGGTAAAAAGGAACAGGTCCCCGCCCTGCGGTCTTTGTGCAGGGTTCTTTGTGGGTGTGGTCGGCGACTAGCCGGGGTCGTCCTCCCGATGGGGGACTAGCACTAGCCGTCTTCCACATGGTCCCTCGGGTCCCTGCTGCTCCTAATCTCGTCGTACATCCTCCTGCTGATCTCAGCAACATCCTGCTCCCTCCCTCGTCTCGCCCTGCGCGTCTGCTCCGCCTCCCCGTCGTCTGCCCTGCGTCGTCTGGTGACGGGTCCTCCGTAGTCGGTCGAGGTCGCCGCCCTCCTCGTGCCTCTTCCCAACGTTTCCTCGGCGGCCGATGCCGTCTGCTCCGACTCCGCCGTCCCCGGGTCTGCCCTGCCCTCGTCTGCGCTAGCTTCTGTTTCGTCATCACTGATGTCAGTCCTCTTCTACTTCTTTCTCCTCGCGCTCTTTTACTAATTTCTTTTCATTACCGCGGCAAGGGAAAAGTATGCAAACGAAAGGCACCTCCGCCTCTGGACAGGGTGGCCCGCCCTAATCGACCCCTGTTAAGTAACTCGTTCGCTTTCCACCCACTGTGATTTTGTGTGAGCTCTGTGTCTTGCGTTGCCAACAACATACCTACACAAAGATCGAAGAACGAAGCCGACTCCGTCGCCTCAAGCCGCCGGCGAGTCTTCCTCCAGTGCAGAGAGCGCGCGACGTGGTGGAAAAACAGTGCATGCATGGTGTTACACAGTAGGGCGGCTCCCGTTACCAGGCCGTAGCGCACAGTGTCCCGTCGTCGTCGAGGAGCGCCACCTAGAGCGGGCAGGAAGGACGTCAAGGGTGTGTCCGTCGGGAGGCGGCTTGCGGCCCCAGGAGGCGCCGCCACCCCTGAGACGGCAAAGATAATGGCGAGCAGGGCGAGTATCAGCGCGATGAGCAGGGCCGCCGCCTGCACCCGCACGTCGCGCCATCCCGCCCAGTAGCCTGCGTCTGACGGCGGGGTGGGCCTGGCCGGCTCTCGTGCTCCAGCACTGAGAGGGAAAGGGTCTGCTCCGCGGCGGTTCGCCCCCTCGCTGCCCGGGGTGACGCTGACGGTGATGGCTTGGAGGTCCTACGCGTGCGCACATGGCCGAGCGTCCTAAGTCACTCGAGGTC